GAGAAAAAGCAGGCACTATAAATGCATACAATACCCCATGTCTTTGTTGGTGCCCTTTTATCTTTTTTCCCCTCCCCTACACACACTATCACTTGAAATCATCACATGCTCTGTCGGAGCTTCTTAATCATTCGCGCTATGGGCGGCGACGTATCTGGGTGGGCGTCTAGCCGCCATCCCTGGAATGTCTTAAACAAGTCCGCGCCATGTTTTACAAGAGCTTCCACAAGCGACTCATCTTCGAGAGCCATAAATATTGGGGGACGACCATCACTTTGACGGGGCTGGTTGGGGTCGGCACCGCACTCCAGCAGACACTTCGCAGCCTTGACCTTTTGAGTAGAACACGCGTACTGAAGCGGCGTCATGCCAAATTTGATGACCTTCGACACGTCAATCTTTCCATCCGCAATCAAAATTTTGATCGTCTCTACATCTTCTTCATCCAATGCAGCCTGCATTTCTCCCTCCGCCATGGTGATTGGAGATTCATCAGCCGCCTTATTTAATTCCACCGAGCGATGGAACCACTTACCAGATAGTCTGTCATCTTCACTCAGGTCCGTTTCACTGTCGCTGTCGCGACCGGCTGCGCGGCGTCGCTCACGTTTTAATTCCTCAATTTCTCGGTATTTAGCATCCGATGGAAGTTTAAGGCACCACTTTGAAGAACTCTCATCCACGCGTCTTGAAATAATGGAGTTCTTGAGAAGGACCGGAGGAAATGGCGTCATCGCGTTTCCCTCCAATTCAAAGGCCTTTTCAACACAAAATAAACACCGAAAAAACTCCCGCCGAGGGTACTTCTTCGGCTCCGGCTTCAAGAGAAAAACCCTAAGAGCAACTTCACGGAAGAGGTGTTGCTCCACTTCCTCACAGTGTGAGATCAACACCCAGTCCCCGTTTTTTGTTCCCACATCGATGTAATCCATGACGTTTTGAATGCTTTTTATTACGGCAAGGTCAAAGTGCCACACGGCGGATTGCATCTCTCTGGCAATTTTGCAGAGAGAAAGAAAAGGATCACCATCTTCATAAAAGAAAATAACGGGGGTACGGCAGTCAGCGTTCTTGAGAGCCCGGCAAACATGTTCCAGTGGAACAAAGTTAGGGGGGATCTCCACCACACCATCCTGAACCATCAGACCTGTATGGTAGCTTTCTTCCCTATTCACTAT